TTCACCACAACCATATATTGTTTCATTTGAACTTCGTTACCCCAATATTGCCGTTTGGTGGAATATGCCGCTAATCATAAGGGGTCTAGCGCACCTTTACCATCAGTTATGTTGACCTAGCAACCGAGAAATGTATGATCATTGGCGTTTTCACAGGAACTGGTGCCGACCGCCACCGTGGATGATCTGCAAGGCGATCTACAGATACAGGAATGGATGCGAGAGCTGAGACGTGTGAAACGTGCTCCGACTCGAAGTGAGTTCGCATGCACTTACGGTTACGCTAGGCAGCTGCCACAGTCCATGATTGAGAGTCGCCGTCTATCGTAAACCGCAGGAATGTGATTTCTATTATTTTCCCTGTCTCTTTCACCACTTTCCTCTCTGTATACCAGAGAAAATTTTCATCTTCGCTGTCACTTCTCGAACACACACGATTTCATCTTCATTTTGAAATTTTCTACAGGCAATTACAATGAATGTTGCACAGTAAAGTCAATGAGGAGGACGCTGTCAGGTGATTGAGATTCACAAATCCCCAATAGATCTGATTTGACCAGTCTGAGCATTTCGTTTCCACAATAACAAACTGTTTCTGAAGATTTTTCGTCTCACAGCGTTTCATCCCACAAAGCAGCTGTTCAGCCCGAGAATCGTGATACAAACTATCATTTTATCATTTTGAATTCTTTTAAAACGCGGCCACCAAATTAACAGACCTTAGCTGGACAGAGAGGTTCCTTTTGGCCTTTTTTTCTGCAGTAAATTCGGTAACTCCGGCAGAGATGGGTTCATGCAAATAGCCTGAGAAAAAAGTTAGGTTGTAACATCCCCGAACAGGAAGAAAAACAGCCCAGTAGCATCATTTCCTCGTGAAAGTGCATGGTGTAGACAAAAACGTGCAGTGTCTGCGTATCAATCACTCTTCTGGCCTGATCAAATCCCAGCGTTTAAGTGGCTGAATGTTCAATGACCTAGGGATCAGCGCCCGATTTGAAAACTCACCCATGTTTGTTGCTATGCCAGTAACGCTCTGATAATGTCGTTGTATAAGATTTTCGCGTTTAAGATGTCCATCCGATCGTAGTTGTACTGCCGGGCTTCGATGCAGCTCGTGCCTCACCGTACTACCAAGAACGGCTTTACCCGGAACCGCTGAGGCGTCGCAGGGCGAAAAGAGCCAGATACTGTCCGATACTAGGTAGATAAATAGGTGGTTGATGCACACCGCATGCGGTTGAGCACTCTCCGCTCCGATCCTCGCAGGCCGACGAACGACAGCTGAGCTGATCGTTCGCACTGCATGCAAAATCGCCACGAGGACGAGGATCGGCGATCGAGAGGAGCTTAACCCTGGTTTGCGAGCTGCACTGGCATGAATTGGATGATGGCGATTCTGAATCGCATACGTCACTCATAACGGATCCGTCCTTGAAAAGCATGCATCGCTTCTCCTCTCTCTGGCAAGCTTAAAAGCGATTCTACGGGCTGCCTTGACGCTCTTCTTCTACACTCACCACCTGATCTCAATCTTTTCTGCCTCTAACTCTAAATTTCTTCAGATAGTACGTTTCCTTCTTCTCCTCTACATACAGGGTGGGGCAAAATTACTGGTGCACCATTATTTTTTATTTCGAAATGAACTTTTGTAAATTATTCTAACTGTGAATATTATTCATCACGAACACGGCAATAAAATAGATCGGCGGTTTTCAAAAGGGTCGCCTTTAGCCTTTGCACATTTCTTCGGATTCTAGACCAATCCTCTGCATGCGGCGCGCAGGTTGTGGTGTTACTATTTCCAAGACTCCAAAAGAAAATCCACCTCGTTAAAGCGAATAAGATTTACTTGGGTTCATAGTGGAAGTGGGGATGCTGAATAATGCCCCAGTGGCGAAAAAAGCAAAGAAATCCGTCAAGAAGGCGCAAAATGGGACCCCTTTCTTTGCCCGTTGACCTCCGATAATGGACGAGCAACCAATTAGGAGGTCGTTTGCACATGTTATGCTGATAGCCTCTATCATTTCAGCAAGCATCATGCTTTGATTGATCACGCATCCCATGAAAAGTTATAGGATACACTCTGGAAGTGGAATATCTCGTCACATTGGCAATCGAAGGGCGCTGCTGCTGGGGGCGGAGCACAGCAAGCTCCGCCAAAAGGGCTGGTTTGCTTACCCCAGGACTAAGCTTGGAGAGTGGACGGGCCTGCGCCTGTGTTCTCTCGCTCTTCGTCCTCTCTTTAAGGTTAAGTTCTGAGGTAAGCATCAAATTGAGGCGGTTTTAAGGACCGAGTTGAAGTAGTCCGTCGACCGTCGGGGACCCATCCCCTCCCCAACATTCAGCATACGGCCCCAGCAGAAACGCCAAAAGGGCTGGTTTGCTTACGTCGGTGATAACGACCTGCGTGTAGCATGTGGAGCTTAGGTCAATCGCCTATGGAGCTTTATGGGGGCTGAAGACGATTATTTCATCTTGAAAACCGCTACAAGTTTATTCGATCGCCATGTTTGTTGAAGTAATATTCACAGTTAGAATGAATTTATGAAGGTTCATTTCGAAGTGAGAGCTAAAATGTCGGCGCACCCGTAACTTTGCCCCACCCTGTACTCTCAATTGTGTGTACAAAGGGCAACGCTTCCATGAGTAGTGAGTAGAATAGAATAGTGGTGGGGGCATCTCTACAGGAGGTCCTGGAGCTCGGTGCCAAGCAAAACTGAAGCAGCCGTCAAAAGACGTCGCAAGCGATTCAGATGATGAGCATCGTCGATACGGGACGCATGGTGCAGTCGTTCTCAGTGCAAATGGTACTGGACGATGTGTGATCTCAGCCGATCAAGCGTCTCATTTCTGTGGAATGGAAGAAGAAGGCAAGCGCTAGTCAGAGTAGTCGAGAGTGTCGTGTTCACTCATCGTGTTGCGGTCGACTAATCGTAACGATGTCGTGACAGGAACCACTCAACAGTTAACGCCTTCGACCGATCGCCGCCAGCCAACCGTCCTGAGCGAGAGCTGTGGACCTTCAGAGTCGTTGTGCTGTGTTTGTAGTCATGTAGTCTGTAAAAAGGTGTGTGCGCTTCTTCGCTGATGGCTCTGCTTCTCACGGTTCGACGTGAGCTCTTCGGCTTTGCTTTCTTGCAACTACTACTGCTGCTACTGCTGCTGCATCCCCACTAACAGCATGAATCCTGCTCCTAACTGCCTTACTTACGTGCTCAGCACTCTGTGCTGATTGTCACCCTCAGTTCTTGGTGACAAAGGATGATGATCAGTCGGGTGATCTAATACGTCTGCTCGCTGCTTCATCCCTTAGCACTCTATTCCTAAGAAAATGATGATGAATTTTAGTGTCATCGCCACCGATTCCTCCTCCTGATGCTGGAAAATGTATTATTTCTAAGGTAATTCTTGATCCGTATTCCTTCAGTGTTTCCCGTACCTCGTACATTAATCGTCCTATCCTGGGAGGAAAACTTGTGATCGTCGTAGAAATAAGGGATTTTCAGGCATCTGGCCGTGAAATTTGCTATCCCCAGTACGAGGATCTTGACACGACCTGCACGGATGTCACTGGCAGAAGTACCTCCGGACTAGTGGCCCCACCAGTCATTCCTCATGCCACGTGAGGAAGAATTTTTCGCGAGGCTGATCCAAGTTCTCTCTTCAAACACAATTTCAGTGTGCGTGCAATGGCTTTCGTGCCACCGGACAACTTGCGACGTCTTATTGTACAGTACTACAGACAGCAGGGAAAGCTCATGCCGAAAAACGTCACGTTTTCCCCAAAGTGAGGATTGTTCAACTTCAGACATTCTGGTCCCAGATCCAAAGAGATTTGTTGGGGATATTCGGCTCATATCGAACAGAGGGAAGACGTCGAACCTCCGAAGGCATTCCCAGGTTGAACTAAGTCCAGTCATTATTGAAACAGACCTAGATGCGCTACATAAAGCGGTCTATGAGCTATTTGTGGTTATAAACGCTCAAAGATGACCGATTGGACCTAATGTCTTACCCAAATCCAATATCAATGAATGGCCTTTGCTTTCTTGACGTGTGATGATGGGGATGAAACAGGCTTTGGGTAGGCTCTTTTTCGTTTCTCTCTATATAATGTATATAGTAGGTATAAAGAAGATGAATTAACCACAAGTTAAAGGAAGAAATAAGGCAAAAATGATGCTTAGCGCAACCTTGAACGATGGATCAGTTCTGGTTATGAATTTCGGATAAATTCAGGCTTTTAAGAAGAGCAGGAGCCCCGACAAGTTCGTCATTTCGTTTGGTAATACTGAACCATGGTTTTGCTTGTGCGCGAACTTCTATGGCGCAGAATGTTTAAACCCGTACTCTACAGAGAAACAAAACTGGAACGAAAATTTCAGTGGTCCCACCTTGCGGGAGGGTTTTTTGGACTGGCTGCTCATTCCCACTACGACCTAACAAGGGAGGTCTTTCGGGACATGGAAGCGCTCTTTCGAAATGGTTCTCTGCATATTGTAGAGGCTCATGCGAGGAACAAAAACCATGATCCATTTTCCTGAACGCCCCTAGGAAGTCAAAACAGTGGTGAATAGATGGTCCAGGGTTCGATCCCCGGTGATGACTAACTTTTGCAATTTACGTTGGCGCCATAACACACAGTGAATATTCGTGGGCTAGAACGAGCGCATTTGGCGCAATTGGAAGAGGCCAACCTCTAATGGCAAAATTAGCACACTGGGGATCAACTTGGACCATCATGTTCCCACTGTGAGCATTCAGGGGGCGTTCTAGGAAAAATGAGGCTCATGTCAGGGTCTTATCATGAGCTCTGCACAGCAGAAAACTATTTGAAACGAATCCATGTCCTGAAATACCTTCCTGTGTAAGTTACACATTTGTATCCATTGGCCAGCTCTTTTTCCTTCCACCAGGAAATAACGTCAATATAAGGCAATCGGAGCAAGAGTATGATTGCACAGAAATTTGTGCCTCTGAGAAATATTTCACTAAGCATTTCAGGTCGTTCTTGTTTGTAAAGTATCACTGCGATTTCGGATACGAGATGGTTGATGAGATTGACACACTGTTCTGTCATCAGAAGACGTGGGTAAACACCCTGCCAATGTGCCGTGGAAAAAGGTTAGTGAGCTCTTATCATCTGTGGTCTGATCGGGGAGGAATTCCGCTTCTTTCAAGGATTATGCGCCGTGAATAAGGGAGATGCAGTCATTCGTGCTGGCCGACCGGACGGCGCCCTGTCAATCAACGATTACCGTGAATGTCGCAGCCTCGGGGAATGACTCTTGACGTGACAAAGAACCTGCAATCAGTTAGTTTTTATCATTCCATAAACCTTCTAAATCTTCAAGATAATAGGGAAAATGACAATAAATAACTCAAAACCGGGATTCAAAAATTTCACAGCAAGCGCAGATGTAGGGTTATGAAAATGGGTCACCTTCAGGTTTCTCTATTTATATAGAATGATCCAGGCCTTCAGTTATTCCAAAGCAGCGATCCTGAGTCGATCCGTGGAAGAAAACATGTTCCTCATTCGAAATCTGGATCCGACTCTTCCTACTTGACACGTATAACGACGCTTGAGGACCGATACGTCAGACTCTGCGAATCGAACGATTCGCTAGCATCTGCGGTCGCGTTGAGGGATCAGCCAATCGAGCGATTCGCTGGCCGCGACCGTGAACCTAGCGATCGCTATATTCGCACTCTAAGCATTGTTCATTAGTTTGCCACGAGACAGAGGAGCTCGAATGCCGAACGAATCTTCGCAAATGAGAAATGAATGAAGTGCGTATCGAATCGCGCATTGGAATCTGCGAATCCTCTTGAAAGGAATTAGTGTCTATCGATCAGTCAATCGGAGATCGCAGCATCGAAACGGCGGTGCGAAAATCCTCTAGCAACGCTAATAGGGCGTGGTTTACTACGTCGATACGTATCTAAACCTTTTCGCATCCGCGTTCGCGCGTGTGGAAAGTCTCCTGCCTGGTCGATACGTATCTTTTTCTTTTCGCAGATTCGAATATTCCGATGGTTCCAAAACTATGAACAATGCCTAACATCGGCCTAAGTATGCCTCGCGTGTTTATCAGCGCCCAAAAATTTGGTACCGTGAAAGAGTTGCACCGCGGATGGAGACCGCTTTGATGTTTGCTCAGACGTGCTTCTGTTCGGGTGGTAAGGGCGGAGCCAAGGGGAAGCAGGCATCAGGAACCTGATTAAGCCTCGCACCAGAGAGGGTGGCACGCAACACAATGCGGCGATGGCTTCTAATTGCTCAGAGATCATGAACGAATGTGTTAAGATGTGCACCAAGTTTTTACTGTAGGAGGACAGTCTCGCGGTGAGTGAGGGGGGTGTCACTTATTGTTACTGAGCTGGGTTCACCAGGATACTTTGTAATTTGGTTATTACATAGCCCCGAAGACCGGGAAAAAGTGGTTGGCAAAGGCTCACCACTCCTTCGATTACTTTTCCATTGTTCATGTGAAGGCTTTCTAGTACTAGGCTGGCTGTCAAAAGAGAAAGGGTAGCTAAAGGGTAGCTAATGATAAATAAGATTTATAGAATTTGTTTAGTAAAATTTTGAAAGTCGTCAAAAAAACAAAAACAGAGCAAAAATTTGTTTGGCATCCTATGCTCCTTGAGCATGTTTCTCCAAGTGGCTCTGTGTTCCCACGTTCTTGAAAGTATTATGCAAATTAGTTGCCATCGCTGGCTAATTAGCAGCCAACTTCAGCAGCTCTCATCAGTTGATTTCAGAACCGATTCCAAAGACTCTGTGCAGATCTTTGGCTGGCTGTTCTTGCTCGTCGATCGATAGCAATCAGTACTCATGTACATGTCCGAAAGGAGCTAAATGCTTACGTAAGAATAATTTCAGCTCCGAATAGTAATTGAAAAGCGTCTTGGAGATTTCTTTACAGTACTAAGGGGACCACCAAAACTTTATGTCGAACCTCCGGTCCCTACGAGGTCCCTCCTGGAGGCAACATCAACATCACCTGCTCTGCTGTGGCTTACCCATTCCCAGACATTTTTTGGCGAGTAGAGTATCACGTAAAAAAATTGTCGGTCAAGCGGCTCCATTGACGTTGTGGTTTCAGAGGTGATGAAAAGATCCACCATATGCCAGCAAAAGCAGGAACAGTGAAGAACGAGCAGATTCTCATTATCAAGAGCTATTTAAAAATGCCGAAATTCACTTGCCATGCTAATAATTCCGAAGGAAAAGTGGACAGGACTATCAAAGTCATAATTACTGGTTAGCGAGCGCTGTTGCTAAGAGCGGTCGCAACGACATAAATGCGAGCATTTCGTCCTTTGCAGGCCTTGGTTCGGCGCCGGGTACTGCGTTTGGTGCGCTGTCTGGCAGGCAAATCAAGTGACGTTGATCGCACACATCATAACAGACCATCATAGCTCACCGACTACAACACAATGGAAATCAACAATCAAGAATTGGCAGCGTATGGAAGTAAAAGGTATTTTATTAAGCAAAATTAGGTTACATTTTTATGCAATATTCCAAGTTACAGTACCAAGAAAATAGCCATATCAGTTACTTTAGGTATTTTATTATTTCACTGTTCTTTAAAAGCCCGATAGAATGATGCCTTATTTTGAGACTCATTTCGTTGTTATTGGGGCAAATAGAGGGCAAACCTTAGTTTTCGCGGAGAGAGGCTTAAATTGGAGGACATGTTTTCAAATTTCTCGCCAGAAGTCTTTCAAAAAATCTCCAAGTCCAAGTCTCTCTCAATAGAACCCGGAACTGATAATGGCATACAATGTCGCTGATCGTCTTCCTCAGAGGCCTCTGCCCGCGACAGCGCGTGACTGAGTTTAGTAACCATTATGCTAGAGTGGCATTGTTTCGCTCTCACATTGGCAGACTGGCCTTCAAGGAAGACGATCGTGGCGAACGTCATGCGGTGAAGTGAAGCTGTCACTAAAAACATCGTTTCCAGAAGAAAACACTATAACCTATCATGAACCGGACATAGTTAGATGTCGGATAAAGAACTTGAATAGTTAAAGTCACGATTGGGTGTCAGAGCGTCTCCTGTGTGAGAAGAGGTCCTCAAGTACAAGAGCCGCGATTCAAACGTGCGCGGCAAGGCTAAGGCCCTGTACGCTGCCGGCGCTGTCGCTACATCAATCGTGTTTTCCCTCTCCTCGCACCGCTTTGTCTCTCCATTATACTGGGCCGACAACACCAAGAAAATTTCAGCGTTTTCTAGAGAGCTTCTTATTTTTCCCACTAACTTTCCTCATCGCATCATTTATTTAATTTCTAAACAAATTCGATCCCGACTCCTGCCTTTAGCAACGCGACCAAAATAAGTTATTGGAGGTGTACTTCCAAGAAATCGATGCAGAACTGAGAATTTCAATTTGTCAGTCGTGAAGATTACGATCCAATATGATCGATCACTATTTCATGGTGTTACTTTCCAGAGCCCAATCACAGTGCGGTGATCGAAAATCTCAGACCTAATACGCCGTACTTCATTCGACTGCGAGCAAATGATCAGATGGGTCCAGGAAGATTGGGAAATCCTGCCGTCGGTCACAACCCTTAAACCAGGTCAGTTTATTACACGAGCTATTGATGTTGTACTTGATGATGGTATGCTGTTTAGCTGCGCGACCTCTCGTCTTCATTGAACAGGGTGAAGAACTTCTGGTCGGTCCACTGAAGCCGTTCGAACTCGGCTGTAATATCACCCGAGCGGATCCAGTGCCAATTGTGACTTGGCAGCATAAGTGAGTTGAAGAATTTCTCAACTGTGATGGCGCTATCGTATCCCATTTTCAGAGGGCGACCGCTCAATAACGGAGAACGAACAATGTTCATGAAAATGCACATTGGTGGAATCATTGAGAACACGATATTCGCCTGTGTGGCAGAAAACGAAGCTGGAAAGAGCACAAAGCGCATCAACATTACTGTGACTGGTAATTACAAAGCACTGGATAAAATATTAGTGTCAAGCCTGACCGTTCCAGGGCCCACGGCTCCTGAACGTATCCGCTATCAAGTGGACGGTGATAAGGTGAACCTACAGTGGGAGCAACCCAGAATCATTAATGCGCCCATGGCTGGCTACGATATCCTCTACACTGACAACCCAAGTCTTCCCGAGGAGCAGTGGCAGGTGAGTCTGAATTTGGTTGCCCCTTCTTGTGACCGAATTATGTGTTGTAGATTGAGCGCATTGATGATCCTCTGGCTCACACAGCGACTATCACTGGGCTCAAAGAACGTACACCATACACGTTCCGCATCCGCGGACGTAACAGGTTGGGCGAAGGACTTCTGAGTGGTCCTTTCAATGCGACGACGTGGCTTGGAGGTGAGTTCTGCTCCTGTCCTCCTTGCTACACAAATTTGCCGAATAGGTTCGCGCAAAGCGAATTCAACATTTGAAAAACTGCATTTCCATAGGGTTACACACTAAAGAAATGTCTTAACCCATTCGTGACAATGTCAGCCACCGGTGGCTGACAAGGGCAGGAGAGATTAACAGAAAAAAGTAGGCGACGCGACCAAGAGATATCGAACGGTGGGCGGACCACGTTAGGTCTGGTGGAGTCTGTTAGAAGTCCTTAGCGCCTAAGGTCTTATTGTCAGTGACGCGTTTTGATGTAGAAAGGAGGCGCTACCTCTAAGTTCGCATATTTAGCGCTTCTAGCCACGCCAAGGGCTTGTTAAGTGGGTCCTGAGCCCGGACTTTGCTTCGAAGCACGAGCCTCCATCTTGTGTTCTCTCGAAGTTTCTGCTTTTACAGCTCGCCCACCGCACGTCACGGTTACTCCTGCGGATAAGATCGTCAAAGAGCCAGTAACGAACCGTTGAGCATTGAATGCGAAGCACTTGGAGTACCCAAACCGAGAATTATCTGGCTTTGGAGTGGACAGTTGGTTGAAGACGGCAAGGTTCGCTAACCTTCGTTGAGTTTCGTATTACCTTCCAGTAGCTTCTGCGTTTTAGGATGAATTCCGAGTCTATACATCACACCAATGGACGCTCAAGACCGCTCAACAAGCAAACTCATTGCCCAAAGCACCACGAGAACTGGTGTGGCTACCTGCCAGGTAAAGACCACTTTGGGCTCACAAATGAAATCTAAGCATCTCATGTTTTTTCCAGGCCGTGAATGCTGAAGGGTCAGACGAAACAAAGACAGAGGTGAAGATCCTTGGACCAGGCAGTGCTCCATTGCATATTCAACCTACACCGATGCATACCGGATTCGATGTTGCATGGCAGCCACCAAAAAGGCCAAATGGACGTATCAAGGTACGAGCGGTAACCATCATTCACGCTGGCAAACCTCTAAGCATAGGAGCATTTTTTAGAAACTACATCGTCTACTACACCAAGGATCCAGATGCACCGCTATCAGAGTGGAAATCGGAAACCGTTAGTGGTGACCTCAGGTAAATACGACATTGGTGAAGGCTTGCAACCAGGGGCACATGCGTTGCGCACTTCTTAAAGAGGGAGACCGTGTTTGGGTTTCTGGAGAGTCGTATGTGGAGTGATGGAGGTCACAAGGTTGGAATGGGGAGTCGTATTTTTGGAGGGCGTCGGTGGCAGTAGAGTGGGATTGTTTCAGACGTCTTTTTAATCTTGGGAGGTTTAGAACGCACGGCATAACTGATCAAGATTTACAGCATTTTCCCCCCCCCCCATACCCCAGGCTTTGACGCACCCATCCATTTTATTGTCATCGATTTGGTAACAAAACCACAATCTAGTCCTGGAAGGATTAGTTCGGTAAGGGTTCAATGATCCTAACTTGGCGACCTTTGCCGATAATGGGAATGTTATCCATAAAGGATAAAAGGATAAAGCATTTGCCGTTGATCAATCCCGTTTTGGGATGCGGCACGCATTCTACTTCCATTTGTACATTCGCAGTGGCGTTTGAATGCGATGTGGCCTATACAATGACTTGCGGGGGCCAGCCGATGTCAAGTCAGTGTTTTTATCCTCCCAGACAAGTCTGGTACCAATTAACCGACCCCGGAGGGATGGAAGGCTTGGTTGGCCCGGGCGACTCACGACCCAGGATTTGATCCCGGACCGCTCGCGTGGTAAGCGCGCCACTTGTCACTACACCACTTCCGCCTTAAGGTTAATCCATAGCAGCACACCCCCCCCTCCCTTCCTCGACGGCCATCTTTTTTAATGTAATCGAAAGTAACAAGAACCACAAATATAGCCGCTGGGAGGTTTATTTCAAAAAGTTTCCAATGTTCCAACTCCTGCGCGTTGCGGAATATGAAGATTATCCATAGCAAGGGCGGAAGTGGTGTAGTGGCAAGACTGCGCGGTCCGAGGATCGAAACCTGGTTCGTGCTCCGTCCAGGCCAACCAAGCCTTCCACACTGACTTGTACATCGGCTGGCCCCGCAAGTCATTGTATAGGCCACATCGCATTCAAACGCCACTACGAATGTACAAATGGAAGTAGAATGCGTGCCGCATCCCAAAAAGGGATTGATCAACGGCAAATGCTTTATCCTTTTTCCTTTATAACTTAATAACCTCAGCATTTGCAGGGAAAAATTGTCCCGCACCTGCCCAAACAGTCTTTAGGTTTCAGAAGGTCCAATAGGTTTCCGTGTAAAACGTGGAATAGATGGCCGCTTTATGGGAAGGCTTCAACTTCAGGAACCTCACAGTGCGTGTTGACGACGAAGACACGCCGTACGTGGTGAAGGTGCAAGCAGCTACAGATGATGGTCCTGGAATTATTTCGGAAGCCTATGAGGTGACCACGGGAAGAAAACGTGAGTAGAGCATCATAGTGCTTTCATCTCACGTGAGAAACATGATCTGTTATTCCAGAAATTCCTCTCACCGTGCGTCTCGAAATCAGTGACCCACCAGTTTCTGAATCCGACACTGAAACCGAAGTCGAACCAGCACAGCCGATTCACTTCAGGTTTGCAGGAAATATTCACCAAGGGAAAAACTCAAGTATTTCCTATGAGACGCTATTTATTCAGATGTGTGGCAGAAGGACGTCCGATGCCAAGCGTTTCCTACAGTTGGTTGCCGATGAACTCCACAGAAAGCGGCGATGTGAGTTCAAACCATCTGAGAATGAAGTCCAAAATAGTCCAAATAAGGCATACCACTGTCTTGATGTCGTAAACTCACTTCGAAAGCAGACTTGCTAGTTGTATAAATTGCTTCCCTGAGGAGCGCCAGGGGCCTGTAGAAACGT